TCAATTACTTTGCGGCTGAAACTTGAAGACTATGCTTCCGACTGTCTCACTATTTTTCACAAAGGTAAGGATAAATGTCGTGTTGGCATGAAATAACGTTTTTTTCGAGATATACAATTCAGAGAGAACCAATAATTAACTTAGCCGAATGCGAACCATAATTTATTTTTAAAAAATCTTATAAATTAATTATTAGCTCTCTCTAAATTGCATGTCTCAAAATAACGCCCCTAGACGTTATTTCGCGCAAATATGGTATATATTTTGCGTAAACATTATGATTCTTCGGTCTTAAGTGAAATATATTCAGGTACAGATGATTTTATCCGTACTCCCGGACTCTGGTTGTCGAAAAAAAAATTGCATGCTCGTTTCACAGGCAACTGGGATAATGACGCGGGAATTATGGGAGTTGGTGATGAGCTCTCACTACAAAAATGGTACCATATAACTTATACACTTTCTGACCCTGAAAAAAGATTGGATATCTATGTGGATGGCGAATGGGTGGGATATTATAGCATCCAAGATGTTAAAAAGCAAAATGTTATCTTCAATGATGGACCGTTGTATATCGGACAAGCATTCTCTTGTGACGGGTTCGATGGTGAAATTAGGTAAGATTAATCAGTATTGAGCTAAACTTGAATAAAAAAATATTAAATGACTATTTTATTAGCAATGTTCACTATTTCAACTGGCGCTTGACTCCTGAAGAAGTGAAAAAAGATCTTCTAAGAGGATTACGTAAAAATGAAGAAGATACATTTTATTATATAGTCTCGAAAGGAAACCCAGACCTTGGTTTGAGTTTTGATGTTGATGAGAATTTTGAAGCTGATGAAAATTTTGATGTTAAGAGTATTGATGATGAAAGTTTTGATGATAAGAGTTTTGATGATAAGAGTTTTGATGATAATTCCATTTCAATTCTGAAACTTCGCCCATTTAAAAACAATACCAATGCGCAATGGAAAGTTCTACGAATTGATAATTATTATGGTGAAATGCTATTTAAGATTTAATTTACTATTGGTGAAGTAGCTATGCTTATAATAACTGAAGGATATATATTTTATTCTAGGCTATCCATCGTTAACAGATAATTCACCAATAAAAGATGTTGTTCTTATAAACAAAGGAACCGGCAAGGCCATGAAATATCGAAACAAGGAAACAGGGACGGAAATTACTCAAGTTGATCTTGCAGAAGCAGACAATAATTGTATTTTGTGGTCAATTGGTAGCAAACAAGTAGGTTGTCTAATCTTAAATTCTCATCTTATTCTTTTGAGTTAATTGTATTTTTTTCTAGAATGATGGTACCCGAGCCATGCACCTGAATAATAATGAATCTATGTCTCTAGATGGTTGGACTGGTAACCTTGTTGATGGTTGCGAGGCTCGTTTGTTTCCTACTCATAACGGAAGTAATCAACTGTGGACTTTTGAGCAAGTCCTTTGTGATTGAATATAGCCTCATTTATTTAATTCAATATGAGCCTGTTAGTTCAATTTTGATATTAAATTAAATTTACGTTATTATCAATTCCAATTATCCAAAAACATTTGATTCTGTAGTAGTTAAAAATGATCGGAATTGAATATATTGTTTTTTTTTTATGAATGAATTTTTTGAATTTATATACATATATAATTGATCTCTTGGTCAATCATTTTTACGAAATAAATTATTTACAAATTTATTATTTATTAATAAGGAAGGCGCTGAAACATTTTAAAAATTCGAAGCGCAGTAGTATAATTCAGTATGGTATTAAGTAATGCACGAATAGCTACACTTAAGTCGTATATATAGTTATCCTTTATAAATACTCAGCATGTTTTGTTAAATTAGTAAGTATAAATAATTATTTACGTACGTACGTACGTACAGATAAAAGGTTCATTGACAGACAAGTTCTAAACTAATCCTAATGACAATGGCAAACTTTGTCTATGAAATGAGAAATAAACCTGTCAGTGAAATTAGGGATTGTCTGCGAAATGGCAGTACTGTTTCATTGACCCACAAGAAAAAAAATATTATCGTATTAAACATAGGTCTATGATAGTGCAAAAAATTGGTGATTTACAAGTATCCACAAATCTTCAATTCAAAATCACACTAGTTATATATTTCTAATTTACTTTGGGGATTCTCAATAGTTAATAATTATTTCTGCAAAAAGAATTATAATTAAAATTTAAAATCACACTATACTGAAAGTTTTGATAATGGATGTTCTATAGAATAGGTGGGTAAACTCCGCAAACTCCGCAACTCCGCTAAATATCTATTAATGATTACTAATCATTAGCGGAGTTTATTTTTATATTGTCCACCTATTCTATAGAACATCCAGCAGGACAATTAAAATCCAAAATTGCACTTGCAAATTTTCTTTGCTGCACTCAAATTCAAGGATAATGGTCTTAATAAAAATAGAAATCATTTCATAAAAAATGAAAATTACCAGAATATCTAGAACTTTCTTCCAAATAAACTAAAATTCAGAGTATAATATATACTAGTTTTGCTACTCTGCAGTAGTGCAAACCCATATTTATTTACCTGCCTTGAAAAAAGATTAATCAAAGTGATATGGCATGCACTATATAAATTAAAATTGTATCGACATGCCCAATTAGACTTGTTCTTATTATTACGGATATAGAAAATATTAAGCGAAAGGAAAACTAAGTTAAAATTTAGTTTCATGATTAAGGATGCCAATAAAATTAATTCACCTAAATAATGGTAATTATTTAGCTACCCTACTTTTATTTCACTAGCATAATCGAGAAAAGTTAGAACTTTGAGTATTATGCAAAGAGATTCAGTACTAACGCTCAAATGATATAAGTTTGAAATCTACTGAAAATGTTAAATATATTACTCTTCTTAATAAACGAAATTTTTTTAAAAAAACCTCTTCTGTGTGCAAATCATATGGCTTTTAGAAAACAACCACATAATAAATCATATATTACTGTTTATTACAACAGCAACTTATTAATAAATAATGTTCATCAAATTCATTAACAAATCATATAAGAATATTAATTAATGTTTATTCCTTCAATTCATTTGACAATTCATTCAGTTTTACGCTTCGATGAACTTTCTCGTGGATTCCTATTTCTAAGAGACCATCTTTTAAGAGCGAACCTAATGGTTTTATGAAATCCATATCCGAAACTACTAATCAACGCTATACTAATAATCACAGCAGCACCGTAAACATCCAAATATTTTCCTCTAATAAGACCCATTCTTGAATCGGGAGT